CGGGCAGCGGCGCCAGCAGCAGTCGCAGCGGGGGCGGCCCTGAGCCGCAGGCGCCGGCGCACGCCAGCGCCGCGGCGGCGGCGGCCGGCGCGGCCGCAGCGCCGCTCGCGCCTGTGGGCAAAGGACAGGTCCTGGGGTCTTGCATCGGCACGACCGCAGCACTGGGTGTCCTGGCTTTCATAATACGTGCCTACGCCGCCCAGAGCGCGTCCAGTGTGCTAGGGACGGACCCAGACCTGCTTGCCCGCCTGCTGCAGCTGCCGCCGGGCCTCGGGTCGGCGGAAGACGTGGCCGTCATGCTGGCCGCCGCCGCCGCCGTCACAGGGGCGCGGTTGTTGCTGCTGGAGAGGTGGGACGACCTGCGGGCCGCGACCGACCGGTCGAACCGGCAGGTGCTCGCGCCCCTGAACTGGGGGGATGTGGCGGTTGTGGCCCTGCTGTCGGGGACGTCCGAGGAGCTGCTGTTCCGGGGCGCCCTGATTCCCGCCAGCTTCCCTGACTGGCGCGGCGTGCTGCTGTCGGCGGCGCTGTTCGGGGCGCTGCACAACAGCGGCGGCCGGAACGCGGCCTTCGCGGCGTGGGCGGGTGCAGTGGGGGCGCTGTACGGCGCGGCCTACCTCTACACAGAAAACATCTGGGTGGCTGCGGGCGCCCATTGCCTCGCTAACTTTGCGTCAGCTGCCATTTGGATCGGCCAAAACGGCGGGGTCGGGCGCATCAGCAGCGACACGGGCGCCAAGGGCTGATGCTGCATGTCGTTTCGACGCCGACTTTAGTGCGCGTTTGTGGGTCAAAAATGATTGTGTCTGTGTGTGTGTGTTGACATATGCAACACACTCATTCACACTGCAGTTATACAAGTTTGCCTAAATGTTCGTGAATTTACAATGGCATCCAGCGCGATTTTTCGCACGACAGGAAGCAGGGGCAAAGCAACTTGCAAAGCTGGCATTGTAGCATGACAGTGAAGGGTTGGGGCTGGCAGCGGGGCGGCAGTGGGAAGATGCGCTAGTGGCGGGAGGGGGGATGGCGGGAGCAGTGCAGAAGGAAGCCTGCTGCATGAGTCAAAGTCCTCCCTGCAGTGCGCACGTACCAACTGGAGTGCGCTTCCAGGGATGAAGAAAGCGTGAGCATGAAAGCTAACAGACTGAGCGCCTATCAAATAGGGTGACCCGTGGCAAAGTGACGACGGGCGCGCGAGTTCGGGCCATCCATGCAACACCGCCCAGCCGATGCCGACGAGTAAAATGAAAGGGGCTTGAATGTACAACAGCGCGCAACATCGCAGCCCTTGGCGCGTTCCGACGATCCCCAGGGCCACCGATTGTGGCCTGCGCGCCAACACGTGCCCCTTTGTGAGCCGACATCGTGCGGCGTCAATGCCCGCACACTGACGGCAAAGCTCTGCCGCCCTCCTGCCAAAGACGAAGCGTGTCGCAGCGTCGCCCAAGCGGTGATGGAAACGCACATGGTCCTCCCGCTGGCCCTTGCAAAGAAAGCACAACTGCCTTGCGCTGATGCCGCAGATGCATCATTGGGGCGAAGGACAGGCGCACGGCCTCATCTGAAGAGCCGCACAGGCGTGGATGGCGCCTTTTTGGGCCTGGTGGGTGGCGGGGAGCCCACACCCCCTAGAGCGACCATGCCCGCTCCAGCAGCCTGCTGCGGCGAGCCAAATGGCACCGTGGCCATGTTCTGCTGCCACTGCTGCTGCTGCTGCTGCTGCTGCTGCTGCTGCTGCTGCTGCTGCTGCTGCTGCTGCTGCTGCTGCTGCTGTGGCGTTGGTGAGTGCCACTGCTGCCACAGCTGCTGCTGGGGCGGGGGCCGCTGAGGCCGAGATGGGCTGCTGAAATGCGCTGAATGTGCTGCTGGTGCGTCCTCACCGCCATCAGGCTGCAGCAAATCCCGCTGCTGCTGCTGCGTCTGCTGGTGACGCGGCGGCAGCCGCTGTTGCTGCAGCTGCTCGAACTGTTGAGGCCACCCCTCTGACATTTCCGCGTCGGCGTGTGACTGTGAAAGCTGTGCAGGCTGCTGCACCTGGGTCTGCACTGGGTGGTGTTGAGGCAGCGGCGGCGCAGCGTGCCCTGGCTGCTGCTGCTGCTGCTGCTGCTGCGGCTGGCCCGACATAGCTGCCGGCGAATCACCTCCGCTCATGCCGCTGAAGCTTAACCGCCGCACAGGTGCGTCGCTTGAGAGCTGCGGTTGGTGCGACGATGTTGTCGACTTGCTGTGAGCACGCGGTTGGTGACCTACAAACAGCTCATCACGGCTCACCGCAGAAAGGCCATGTGTCGTCACCGCCTCATTCCACTGCAAAACTTTGCATCGTTGCACACTCACGTCAAAATGGCCAGGAGGTGGACGGCCCTTGCGCGGCGCGGGGGGCGGCGCCAGCGGCACCGCGTCGAACGTCAACAGCGGGCCACGCGGGGTGGCAAAGCAACCGTCTACCTGCTCCAAATTTTTGAGGGATGCGTGAGGGCAAGGGCGCCTTGTGCTCGCGGAGATGTCACCATGACCTGACCAGATCATGCCATGTGCAGGAGTCTCGCCATGTACAAGACTCGAGTGGAGATAGCAGCTGTCAATATGTCACAGGGCGCTCGCAGGTACGCTGAAGCGGTCCCCGTGAGCGCGTGGACGCACCATCTGTTGTGGCTGCGGCGTGACGCCCCTCGCCGAAGTGCTAACATCGCTCGAATAGCCTTCGCTGTCCTCCGTGGGTTCGGCCATGCCAGTCAACGCGGTGTCCGGGCTTGCTGAGGGCGTGAGCGCCTCAAACAGCGTCGAGCATGGTGATGAAAGGCGTGAATGTTTGCATATCATACCGTACTGTGTTTGTGGGTATCGAGCTCGAGTGCAACACAGTGCAAGCGGGCCGTCGGGCGAGTACAAGGGGTGGCTTCAGCACAACTTGCCAGCGTCGACACAATCATCAGTTCTGTCTGTGTGATTTTGGTCAAGAGCGTGATCAACACAGGCTGGACAATATCGAGTGGCTTCAGAGACACCATCTTTGGGCAGTGATGTGGAAATCCTGAACACCCTGTAGAGCGGCTTAGTCGCTGCATGCCCTGAAAACCGAAGATCTTCGTCTGCTTGACGGTGGGGCGCCAACATCGAACCCCAACGCTGCCGCTGTTACAGGGGTCGTGAATATGTTGTGGAGTGTCTGAGGCGCTGGTGGTGATGGAGGTGTCAGACAGCTGCTGGAGTGCGAGGTGCAATGTCAACGCCACCATTGAGTACCTGCAGGGGGCGAGGCAGGTGCGGCACCGGGCCCCCTACAGTCAAAAGATGACCTACTGCCCAACAGAAAGCGGGCGGAGTTAGCAGGCGACGTAGTTTTGGTTGATCATTCGGCTGCGCAACACTGGACACTCTCAAGCATCCAGCAGCGGTGCATTTCTCCCCAATACACTGTTTCATCAGAACCAGGAGTGATCTGGCCCACATGGATGTTGGGGTGTGCGCGCCGCAACAAAGCACTGGATGCACTCACAGGCAGCATGCCAGCAAGGGCCAACCTACCGCGCTGTAGTGAATGGCGACGATTGTACCTGGCAGGCAATACGGGCATAGTGAGTTGTGCACAGCAAGGGGCAGCCACATGCAGTGCGTGCAGAGATGGGATTATGAAACATCTTCCAGATGCACAGCCGGGATGATCAAACATCGTGCGGCGCTCCCAAACCATGAAACTAAGTACCACGACAGAGAGAGCACCTGCCACGCCCGCTTGCTATATATTAGCCTGTGCTCAAGCACCGCAAGGGCAAAGTTGTGACTGAGACCGCGTCATCCGGCTGTCACATGCACTTTATGGAGCGCACTGGCTGGGCTCGCACCCAACGCCTCTGAAGCAAGAGGGTCAGGCGCACGGGCAATTGCATTCTGCAAGTGCTCCTGTCCGTGCAGCCTCTCCGCTGGGCGTTCGCGTTCGAGAAGCGCGTGGTAACCGCCAGGCCCGCCGGCGAACGCGTCTGGTCCACACCGAAATAGCGTCACTGCCTTGACGGCATGGCTGGGATTATTTCACAACACTCCTCGTTTACTGGTGTGCCCACAGCATGTCTCTACTGGCTATGATTTGAAAACGCAAAGCGGACAAGATCAACGTTTACATGCACAGCACCTCTGGGCACACCAGCAGAGACTAAAGCTTGACCGCCGTAACGTGTTGCATCACCTGGGAATTGAGGGGCGTCAGAGAGGCTGGCCGCAACCGCAGACACCGAACAAAGAGCAGTGTGGAAAGCAGGAGTGTGCACAAGGTCGGAGGTTTTGTCTGTATGCACAAGGTATCCCTGACCGCGCCTGTTCCATTTTACCCTTCCAACCACCAAAGCGCCTGGGCGGTATGCACGATGCCTGCCCACCAGTAGCACCACAGCTCGAGCAGGGGTCAACGCAGTACGGTATTTGATGTGCAACAAGAAAGCACGTACAAAATACGATTGTGAAGCGCATGTGGCGAATGATGTGCAATGCTGTGCACCACCCTGTGGTTGTGAACTCTTCAGTCGTTTGTTGGTCGCTTCTCGCACCCGCACCGCGAACTTCTGCCGCGTACGGACGCCCCCGCAGCCTGGGCCACGCAACCACAGCGCTCCGTTCAGCACCCAGGTCGACCCTGAAAACTCGTCAAAACTTAAAAGGTGTCAAAGCCTATGCATGCGCATGGACCTTCGCACAGAAACTTTCAACGCGCCCTGTTGCAAACTGGAGGGAGGTCATCGGGTGAGCTTGCCATACGTCGCGGAACGCCGTATATAACGCTGTAGGGTTGTTGATGATAGGCCTTGCAAGGGCCGCCCCAGCAGCGCGAGAGCATCCCTCACACGATCCTGGCCCGCTTTGGTCTTAGGTACGGTAATCTGCTCGCCACCGCCTCCTTTCACCGGAGACACCCTACACATACATAATCTTTCATGGCGAACGTATTCGGGGATGTTGTGGCAGCGCCTCAAAGGTGCGTCGTGACGCCAGCCACTCGGCGGTGGTGGCGAGGTTCGCCCCTCAACTTCCTCAGTTCCAGGGGTGCTTTCGGTCCACACGAGGCGCACAAGCTGCGCTGCACCCTCTCTGCGCTGTAACTGCACTGGTCTGAGAGCCGGCAGTGCGCAGGGCGTCTGGGATGATCCATCTGCCCTGCGCAAACCACCCTCGCAACGTAGCTCGTGCAGGACTGCACAGCAGGGATCGCCGTGCCCTCCCACGCCCCAATGCACCTGCCTCTGCCACTCGCAGCCTCATGTGGGCACTGTACGGCGCCGCCCAGCTTACAACGTGCCAGCAGATTGAGGGCAATCATGGACCATGGGCCTTGCATTCGCGCAACGGCTCCGGCAGCTATCGCGGGGACTCCACGCAGAGCCACGTCAGCTGGGACGACGGAGTGGCCGCGGCGCCCGAGGCGCCCCCGCTCGCGGCGGCCGCAGCGGCCCTGGCGCCTGGACCTGCCGCCGGCACGTCTCCGGGCAGTGGCGAGGGCCAAGGCGTTGACGTGCGCGTGAGCATCGTGTGCGGCGGCCTGCCCGGTGTCCTGCTCCTCCCGCAAATGCGCGTCCTCGTCAGCGTCGGCGCCCGCGGCCTGCGGGAGGTGTCGCCGACGGAGTTCGAGCGGCTTGGCGGGAAGGGCGCCGCCAAGAAATGGCGCCAGACGATCCAGCTGCAAAGCGGTAGGGGCTCCGGCCGACACCCGCATTGGATAATTTGACGAGTTGTGCATGCGGCACGAATCAAGCCAGCAGCGCACGGCACACACTCTGCACCGCAAATTTGTGAGCAGTGTTGCGCTCCGTTTTGCATCCGGGATTCGCCCCTTCGTAGCGCGCGCGCCCAACCGCGCCGCACGTGCCCCTGTCATGCCCTCCCGCAGGCAAGGGGTCGATCGGGGAGTGGCTAGCCAGCCATGGCTTTGACGCGCCCACGCGCATCAAGCTGCCCCAGAATGCCGACGACGAGCGCGCGGCCAGCGCGGAGGTTGGGTCCTACGCCGGCGCTGCGCCTGGAGACTTCTGCCAGCAGCCGGACCAGCTGCCATTGCCCCTCCACATCAGCCCAGTAAGGCAGCAGAAGCAGCAGCAGAAGCAGCAGCAGAAGCAGCAGGTGCTGCTGCCGCCGCCGCTGCCGCGCATGCAGCTGCCGCCCTCAGACCTGCGGCGCCTCCCCGGCGACGGCAGCCACGAGGTCGCAGCGATGGCGGACCACCTCGCCGGTCTCGCGCCGCCGCCCCCGCGCCTGCTGCGCGCCGCCGCGCCGCCCTCCGTCGCCGGCCGCCCGCTGGACCTGCCCGCGCTCTTCCGCGCCGTCGTCGCGCACGGCGGCGCGGGGGCGGCCACGGCGGACGGGCGGTGGCCGGAGATCCTGGAGTCGCTGGGCCTGGCGCGGGGGCTGGCGGAGGGGTCCGCAGAGATGGCGCGGGCCTGCAAGGCCGCGCATGCCGCTTACCAAGGCATCCTCCTGCGGTTTGAGCGGATGCTGGATCCTGACGCCTGGCTCTTCCTCACAGGCCGCCCGGTGAGCTGCGAGGCCCGTCATGAGGCAAGCTGTGCGTGGGGTGTGGCAGACGCCGCCGCCGCCGCCGCCCTGAGTTTGGGAGCCTGCTGCGGCAACGGTGGTGGGCGGAAGCGTGCCCATGTCCGTGACGCAGGTGGATCGGCGGCCACTATTTACTAAAACCCCTTGTCAATGGTACACGCATCGCACCCCGCCGCAGTCGCCTGTGCTGGGTGCACCGACGGCACACCTCAAACCCGTGCTGCCGCGCGGCGAGTACAGCGGCTGCTGCCCTCTCCCTTTCAGCGGCCCCAGCGCTGCCGCCGCGGCCCCCGCCGCCGACGACGACGGCTGCTCGCCGTTCGGCGTGGCGCAAGGCGGGAGCTGGGCGCCCGCGCCGGCCGCGGACGCCCGCGAGCCGGCGCCGTGGTTGTGGCCGGCCGCAAGCGCCGGCGCTCCTGCCGCGTCCGGCGGGGACACGGCACCCTGGCTGGACCTGGCAGAGCGGCCGGCCAAGCGCCGGCTTGTGAACGGTGGAGCGGACGATCCACTGCCGTTGTCGGGATCACAGCGCTCCTCGACAAGTTTCCAGGCAATTTCACTCGAGCCGCTTGCCACCGGCCCATCCAGCTCCAACCTGCCGCCCCTGCGCGCGCCCCCGGCGCTGGTCAACCCGGCGGGCGCCCGGGACGCGACCGACGCGGCCGCGCGGTCGCAAGGGCCGCCTGACGTGGCGGCGCCGTCGCAGCGGCCGCCCGGCGGTGATTCAGAATCGCGGCCGCAGCGGGCGTCCGGCGTCGGCGGCTCGGCGGCTGCGAGCGTCCCGGACGAGCGGGTGCAGGGGCTCGGAGCCACGGCGTCTGCTGGCCTGGACGGGCTGGGGGACTTGGACGAGCTGCTGAATCAGCTTGAGAGTATAGACGTCTCAGATCTGGCCCTGGACGGCCTGATCCACGGCGATCTGCAGCCGCTCGCCAGCGGCGACGTCACGCAGAAGCTGCACGACCGCGGCAACGGGGCGGTGCAGGAGCGGCGCCAGGCGTGAGGGCATAAGGAACGGGGCGCCGCCGCTGCTCGTGTGGGGTCCGAGTAAAGGCGGCGCCGCTCGGCTGCCTGGGCGGCTAGCGCCCTTAAGTTCAAGTGCATTGGCGAGATGCCTGGGGGGATGGTCAGCCCCGCGTTGCCCCAGCACCGCGGAGGCCAGGGGGAGAGGGCGCACGACTCGTGCCGCTTGCGTTCGGGCTTACTTGCTGCGACTGGAAAACACCCAGATGGCTGCCGCTCGCCCTTCCCGCCGAACTGAGTATCCTTTCATCGCTTTTTTTCCGGGGTTCCTTGGGCACACAATTGCCAAAATTGATAAGGACGGCTTGTTTGACAAGAGTTTGGGCCTGGGACGACCGCGGCACAGCCTCAGAAAAATGGGCTTGTGCCAACCATCTACTGCAACTGCCAAGATTGTTGATACTGGAGCCCTTTTTCCATCAGTCGCATTCAATTTTCCTTTTTCTGCCTCTGTTTATCAGCTGGGAGCCGGACTGTGTTTGCTCAGCACGCCGCTCTGCTTGCGCTGACCTGCCTACCGTTGACCGTTGTGCTGCGGAGCGCAACGCATCAAGTGGCGCCGACTGCTGGCGCACACCAACGCTTCGGCCAGTCCATGGCAGCTGTACCATAGGCTGCTCAGCTCAACCCCCTGTACTGCCAACACAGCAGAACAGGTTAGTACTCGCTTACCTCTGTCGTTCACCTGGCGCACCTCAGCAACGAGTTTCTCTTCCCCATCCTAAGGATGGCTGCTGCGGTTGCAAGGACTGCTTGTGAATTGTTTCAGAAAGAACCTCATGGTGTTGGTGTTGAATGCCTTTGTCAAGTTCACCTCAGTACGTTCTGTCGTTTCTGCATCTGGTAAATTGATTTTGCAATTCTCACTGAGAATTGCAGGACAGCTGGCCTCACTGTGTGATATACAGTGGAGGTGACCATAATCCAGCGGACGGTGGGGTGCCCCGGTGGGCCAGACCCTCCTGTGCATCTTCGTACACATCAGGATGATCTGGCACAGGCGCCGCAGCCCTGGTCCCCTTTGGCTTGCGTTCTAGCAGAGGTCAACAGTGGTCAACCCCCACGCCACTGGACGCAGGCTGCATGGGGCTGACAGGACAGGGGTCTGCATCAGGTATGTCTGAAGTGATGCATGCGCAATTTCAGTCTGATCTCTCAGCTTTGGGGGCGCGTGTTGATGTCGCTGTACTGTACCATAAGCCACTGGTGCGAGGCACGCACGTCGCAGTGACCTGTGTCGGGTGTCCTGGTAGAATGCAAAGCTGCTGGCCCTGCCATCGAGCGCACTTTCTGCAGGCACCTGCCTGTCACTCTGTGCGTGCAGCATTCAGTTTCACCTTTTGCAGTTCGTCTCGGCTCTCTACACTCTAGATCGATCTGCTCATCTTGGAGCACAATAGCAATTACTTCGTGTCAGTAGTACAATACAATACAAAGTACCATAAGGCTGCCTTCACAAGCGGGCAGGTGACTGAGGAGTGCAGCGGCTCGTCGATGGAGCAGCACGAGCAGCAACAACCCCTTTCTGCCGGTCAGGGATCGGCAGAAATATCAGATATAGCTCCTAAGAAAGGCTGGGCCACCATCTTGAAGGGCGCCGCGGGGACAGCCACCAGCGTCGAGCCCGGGGCGCCCTCCGCAGCCAAGGCAAACGTGGACAAGGAACTCGGAAGCATTGCGAGCGCAAAGGCCACCCTCAGCGCGGCTGCTCTTGGCGAAAGTGCTGTCGTCGGATGCGGCAAGGCCCCGTACACCAGCCAACAGATCACGGAGAAGCAGGATATCAAAGATCCCAGCGATCATGGCGGCTCTGAGACCGGCACAGCCTCGGGCGCGGCAGGCACCAGCAGCGGTAGGGACGGAATCGGCGGCGGTGGCGGCGCAATTGACGTGGCTGGCGAAGGCGGCAGCGACGGCCCCAATGGCGACTCCAAGGAGACTCCAAAACAGTCCAAGCCCGCCTGGAAGAAGGTAAGACTTGATTTTGGGCATGTCGGCTGGACAAGTTGACCGGTCAATCACGCATGCGCCACTAGTCACCAGCGCGGTGCGGCATTGCTCTTGCGGGACACGCGCGACGCGGGTTGACACAACCACTATCGCATACCATCGCTTGCGGTCGCCTGCATGCCGCGGCTGCCTGAACCCCGGGCGCCCCCAGGACCTGAAAAGGGAGCAACCCCCTCCACGCCGCCCGCAGCCGGCCGCCGAGGGCCCGGCCGCTCTGGGCACCGCCGCCGCCGCCTGGCCGACCCTTGGGGACTCCAAGGACGCCCCTAAGAAGAAAAAGGAGACGAGCGGCAGCGGCGGCGACGGCGGCAGCGGCGGCGAGCCCGGCGGCGGGAGCCCTGGGAGGCCCCCAAGGGTGCGTGGTGGTGTGTGGGGGTGGGAGGGGGAGGGTCTGGAGGAGTGACGGGCCGCCCTGCAACAAGCA